CATTGAGAAATTTTTCAGTTTTGGGCCTCAGGAAAATATAAAGGAGGTTAAATCAAAATTCACGAATGTTTTAATTACTCGAATGAGTTTCTAAAGTAGTACTGAATATTCTGAACTGAATACATTAAAATTAACAATGTCATGTGTCAAATAGATTTCTACAAAATAGTTTAAATTGTTTGATTGCTGCTTCTCTCTTGCTATAATTCAAAATAATTTGTTCAACCAAGTCATGCAGAAAGGTCTAACCTGAACATTATACAATTTAATAAATCTAGTTGTATCAAATTTCTCCCAAAAACATTGATAAATATGATCAACACTACAAAGGAGTGTAATTCAGTTAAACAAATATTTTATAGAAGGGTTTCAAGAGAACAAATTGTTCAAAGGTTAAAATTGTTGAACTTATGGGATTTAAAATCATGATGAGAATAAAATAAGTCAGTTAAAAACATGGAGTGACAGGGTTAACTTTATTCTTGTAAAAAAAAACAGGCTAATCATTCTTTGAGGGTTTAAAATGGGAAGAAAATATGAGGATTCACACAAAAATTGGTCTAAATTGGGATTTACAATTGAGCATTTATGGAACTGATTAAAGGGGGTCAAACAGATTGACAGAATAAAAAAGAATCTAGTCCTATGTGTAATTTCTGATTCAAGGTAATAGTGCCTAAACATTTCTCATAATCATAATTTACAGTTTTGAGACAAAATAGGGTTGTCTTTTATTACATGAATGGAATATATTACAAGGGATCTTAATTTAACACGGATCATTAATGTTCACACTATTGATGATATTTTACAAGCCTTTAGTATAGCGGGTTACTTCTTGTTAAATGAGGACTATTTGATTGAAGTTAATTAAAATAACAAAAGCAAAAGATTTATGTATGGTTTAAGATTTCTGGTAAAGTTTCTATTAGGGATAATTCATATATACATTTCAAATGATATTTCTTTGATAAAACATGACTGTGGGCAGTTTTGTACATTTATTTCATAATCTGATCTTTTACTTGATTTTTTGTTTGGTTTCTGATTTTGTCTGATCCTATGAATATGCCAACACTTAAAACAAACAATGTTATTCTTGAAGGTTGAAATGTGTTACTTAATTTAAACATTTCTTTTGCTATTATTGAGAGGAGAACTGAAATAATAAATGTTACTGATATATTGATGCTCTATTGGCTTAGTATGAGAAAAACACAAAAAGAACTAACTTGATCTTCAGCTTCAAGGAGAAGCCTTTAAATAAAAAAGAACATTATGTTTACTAATCAGATGATGCAGAATCTTAAAGAACCTTCCTTGCTCTCCTCATCACCTGTGGATGCTGCTGTGTTCCCTGCCTGAGGTCCTTGGCTGTTCAGTGCATCACTTCCAACATAGAGAAGGGATGCGGTACCAACAGAACCCCACCTGCCTATCAGATGGTTTCCCAGAACCTAAAGACAACCGTGGAACTCCAGATTTCTAGAGTATAAGGGCAGTACTAGTATCTAGTGACAAAACAACATTTTTTCATTCACTTTAGTGTTCATTATATAATCCATTGATTTTGATTTTTGTTGTGTTTTTTCTGTTGCAGAATGAAGTCCAATCCTTTCTGGGTGGGCCGGGGGGTGAGACTGTGGGCGCCTTCCACGATTGGTGGACCGAGTTAAAGCTGAAACGCCACTGAAGCCTCCTGGGCCTGTCGGGGTTTCCTATCGAGCTGCGCCGGCTCTACATCTGGACACACGCAGAAACTGATTTGACGTAGCAGGTCTCGCTATAGAGAGACTGATATGATTAGATTTTATTACTATTATTGCATTTTACTTAGAGAGCATTTTTACTTGTTTCCTCATCATAGTTCATTCATATCAGTATATTTTGACTGTGCTGCCCTTGATCCTGAT